TATATATATATATATATATATATATATATATATATATATATATATTAAAATAACAAGATGTTTTTATATCATACATGTACTACCTTTTTTACAGAGGCAATTTATATTATTAAAATTAATTATGATACTTGGCGTGACGTTTATGTCGTTTGTAATATTATTAAATTTACTATGTAATTCATGTTTACACGCGAGCAAACGTGTGAAAATTGCCAATTATCTCAATAGTGAAAATTATAAGCACAGTGATCCAGAAAGCAATAAATCTCTTGTATCCGTGTTTTCCACAGAAGAAATGAAAAACATAAGAGTGCAACTAAATTCTAGAAAAAATGAATTAGAACAGTATTGCAAAACCATTGGTAGAACAAGTTCAAACTTGGATAACGTGTTGTCAAACATGATTATTGATACGTAAGTGGAGCACAATTTACTCTATAGAATTTACTTTATACACTTTACAAGAAGGTTAAAACTTATTGAACTTTGTATTCTGCAGAACACATGGATTGTCATGGTGTCCTATTTATAAAGCAGCAAGTTCTACATGGATGAAGCATTTTGCTATACTTGGAGGTGTATTAACAGAATCAGCCATGGAATTAATACGCAAGAACATTTTACAGATCAACACTATTGTTAGAAAAGCATTTCCACGTGATCGAGATGTTAAGAAAGCATATCAAGTATGTAATACACAAAGTAATAAATATATTACGTGTGTGATTATTTGATTATCATTTCTGTTGCAGAAGTTGAACACGACGATAAAGTTTCTAATAGTGCGTCATCCATTTGAACGTCTTGTATCCGCATACAGGGATAAATTAGAACATATAGAAGGAAGGGATTATTATTATAAAAGATTTGGACGTCACATAGCGCACAAATACCATCGTTATAGGAAGCCAAGTGAAACGAAATTAGAACCCACGTTTGCGGAATTTCTTCGATTTATAGTGGAAGAGAAATACTTTGATGAACATTGGGCACCATTTATCGATACTTGCGAACCTTGTTTAATTCCATATAATTACATTTTAAAATTTGACACTTTCGATAGAGATCAAAAGTTCCTAATACAAGAACTAGGCTTAAATGAATACCTGTATGAAAAAAATGACTTGAAAAATATAAATCCACGTGGAGTTACAACTACTGCTTTAGTTAAAGAATACATGCAAAATGTTCCTAGACCATTGCTTGACGAAATTAACAAAGTTTATGAAAATGATTTCAAACTTTTCTCCTATTTACCCATATAATAATAACTTGAGATCTACTTAGAAAGTAACAGTAGAAACAAAAGTGTGATAAGTAATTGCATTTAATTCTTATTAATACAAGTTAAGCAATAATAATCTCTGCCATAGAATTAACAGTTTTTAAATTTTTTAATCGAAATAACTGTTTTATTTGTTCTTACTTGTCCATAGTGGTGTATAACGTAATACTGCCATGATATATAGTTGCAATATTAATTGTGGAGCAGCCCCCATAAACGACTCAAATAAATGCAACATACATATATCACTTTCCTGTCTATATACCCAATTCTTATCCTTCACAAATCGTTTGCTCCTTAATGAATATATTGTAGAATAAAGTAAAATTAAATACCTAGAAATAAAATTATTGACCCCGTCAGAAAACAGAAACACTATCAACTGGCTAGTTGATAGAAACAAAACTTAACATAATACCTGTGTAATACTCCTAAAAATAAAAAATGCAATAACCAATGTATATTCTTAATGGAACCATCGCTGTGATACCATCTCAAACTAAACATTTGAATAACGGCTGCAGGTAAAATTGTAAAGCTCAAAGCAAAGCATCCCCAAACAAATTCGCCTTGTAAAAAATATCCCATAAATACAATACTATCTACAACAAAAATATTTCATAGCAACGTTTATATGTTGTAAAATTTTTATTGTCATTTTTATTTCATTGTTCCAAACAATACATCTTCATTTTCAACGTGTATTCATCACTTGTGTAAAAGTTTAGTCCTCTAATGTGAGTGACTTTAAAAAAGATCTTTCAATGAAAGTTTGTACACTGATTACATGTTACTATATCACTTTAAGTATGAAAAGAAGATTTACAAAAATTATGAACAATTGCAAAATGTAATTTTTATATGATTACAATCATGACACAAAAAAATTATGCAAATACGATGAATACATGTCAAACTGTAGCAACTATGCAACAACATTCCACCTCAGATGTAGAGAGTATTAACATACATCAACTCTATTAATTACACATTACTCTCTATACTTATTACAATACGTATCAAGTGGACAATTATTCTTTATATAATTGTTACAATGTATCCTTTAATAAATTTCAGTACTTCTTATAGAAAGAAAGATATTTTATTACAAGGAAAATACACAGTAAACACTTATTCTTTGTTCACCTGTTGCTATATCGATGAAAAAAAAACTGACAGAAGCGACGTAATAAAACAAGTCTAACAATTTGAATTGATAACATTCTATTTCCCTGTGCAATGTTATTGCCGATACATTTTTCTTCACAGTTTCGTAGCATGAAACATTATCACGTTTTAACTCTGCCGCCGCCATCTTCCCGGCCATTCTCAATTTAATTTCACGCAATAGATGAAAGAACGCGTTCCGAAATCAACTACATAGTTCCCACTTTTTTTCCCTTTTTTTTTCATTTAAAATTCTTTGTGTCATCGAGTACAGCATATTTTCAGTGTATCGTCAAATTATTCCTTCGAAATTAAATATAGAGAGCTGGTTCGATTTATCGGAGGAAAATCATGGTCATACGCGTGTTTAAATTTTACATGCATGCAAGGATTGTATATATACACACGCAGGCGCGTTACAGCACCTATGGCCTATGATTTTCAACATGTCGGTGAAATAAAATATGGCGAGCATCTGATGACTAGACGTATACGTACGGTCTGGTGCTAGTTGTTTTTTGCTGACACATTCACAAAATAAACGTTCTTCTGAGAATATGCCTACAGTTTAATTTTCAATGCAAATTGTACCGCAATATATATGTCGAGAAAAGTAGTAATTTTAAATGTTAACCTCATAGAGGAAAAAAAGTATTTGTCTCTGTATAAATTGAGATTTCAAACGAAATTGGCGATGCCATTAACTTTCAAGTCGCACTAAATATTTTCAAAAGTACGGAGATTAATGAGGAAATACTGACAATATCTTTCAACTATTAAGAGATGATATGCCGGATATTTATGTTTGAAGCTTATCAGAAAGACCTGTGAATCATTGAATAGAACTTCTTCACATTGTAAGTATCGAGGACAAAGTTGTTGCTCGTTCTGAACTGTATTGATTGTCGTTAATGTTGTTATTATTTTTGTTTTCAAAAGAAGGAACAGGAATGTTATGCTATTAAAAAGAAATCGGAACATCATGTACAGCTTTGAAGGAGACTACAGACGTAAACCACAACAAAATCTAGCAGGTGCAAGTAGAAGAGATGAGAAGTCGGTTCTGTTGCAGCATGCTCAATTAGAACGTTTGAAACGGGAACAGCAGCGTAAAAGACACAATGCAGCGTTGAAGATCCAGGCGCTTATGCGCGGCTTCATAGTAAGGAAGCACATGAAAATAATTAAAAGGACAGAATTCGACGAAGAGCAACAAATAAATAGCCGTAGAAATTTAAGTCTAGATGAACTAACAATATATTTCCAAAAATTATTGTTCTTTTATAATCATACCTTGGATGCTAACAGACTTGTTTGGATACTTCAACATTTTTTGAAACATCAACAAGAAATCAAACAGAAGTGTGTGAATTGTTCAGAATGGCTATGGAGGTTGAGGTAAGTCAAGTATAAAAAAAAAAGAACACAATATAATGAATATTGTTTGCCATTTAATATAAATAAAATGTATGTACAGATGGATTCTCCGCATGTGTATGCGTCACAACTCGGAAGTTTTAATGAACGGCGCTTATTCATTGGCTATACCATTGAGAGCATTAGAAACATTTACAAGTCGAGAAGACGCAGAGAACATTCTACATGAGAATAGTTATAAATATTTAGGAAACATTTTTATTTATTTGATAAAGCACAAATATTTTGATCAATTAAGGAAATTAATAGATAATAAAGTTCCATCTATGTTAGAACCAACTTCTGTTGCGCCGACGCCAATCTCAAAATGTTTAGTGGATATGATTAAACGACCGTTAGACTTAATTTCTTTTCTAGAGCAAGAGGACAATTTCTCTATGCTTGTCCTACAAGAACTTTGTAGAAGTATATTATCCTCTAAAATGTCTGATCCAATAAGAATGTTTATCATTCCATCGTTGTCAGAATTTGCAGAATTTCCATATAATCAATTAATTGAGTGTATTGATAGAATTGAAATAGAACCAACGATAAGTTTACTCTATTCCATTTTATCTCTGGAATCGAATAGAATTTGTAAGTGTACGAATTAATCCACTCAATAGGAACAGAAAAGAACGTTAACGAATGAAATTTTCCTTTCTATTGCAGCTACATGCAAGTCTAAAGATGTTCTTATTAATTATTTGCAAGTTCTTGCATCTATGAGTTCAACTATAATACCATTAGCGGTCGAAGAAAACATCGAACAAGAGAGCGATTCGGACTCGGAGTCTACTGCAAATATGATTGATCAAGATCAAGCTGACATTTTGCACGAATGTATAGAAATGTTGAACGAAGAGCAACGTGTTCAAGGAATACTTTTAGCGGTAGATCGAAGCAAAGATCCAGCCGTGCTGCAACCATTGTGCCAACTCTGCCATTATTTGCTAATTACCGACAGATTGGCCATTCATAAGTATAAACTGTTATATATGCTCGCTTTTAAGCCAGCGTTTTTAAAGAATTTATGGTCTGCTTTATTGTCGGCTTGTCAAATGTCGCTGTTCGGTGGAGCTACCCCTCTCTTGCAAATTATATCACGAGGGATTGGCCTTTCTACCGAAGATACAAAAAAGATAGTCCCACTGTTAGCTGTATTTTGTTCACTGTTCAGTCTACTTATAGCAACGTTACACGACACGGAATTCTTCACTCAAGATCAATCATTGGACATTAACGGGCAACAAACGATGCCGTTTACCACGTCGGAATTGGTATTGCTGTCAAGTCATTTGAAGGGTGTTTGCTTAGGTTTGGTGGAGCTTGCATTCCCCGATAGTCGACCGACCGTACGAGATGACTATAAGAGGGCTGTTCTTGGCCCGTCGTGTTCCCTGCGGAACCAACAGGACACGCAAATGTGGACCCATTTGTTCAAAGTAACGGTCGGTTTATTACGCCAGCTACATATGCGAGACTTGAGACGGCAATTCTGTCCGGAAGGGCACTGGATAGCTTCGAACATTGTAATACCAATTGACAAGCCTCAAGATTTCACATTTCGCAGACGTAGATTGAGAGGGTACATCCCTTTTCAAGGGCTGCGAGTGTTCACTCGAGAAGAGCTGGAGGAAGGGCCACCTCTCTCCGCAAAGGAAGTTCGGACACTGACGCTGCTTCGCGAAATACCATTTGTCGTACCGTTTAACAACCGAGTAGTGGCGTTTCAATCGTTGATCTATCGAGATAAAACGGAACAACAAGGTGAACTGACGCACTTCATGCAAGGGCCATCGATACAAATATCGGTAAGAAGGAACTACCTCTACGAGGACGCGTTTGAGAAATTATCGCCGGAGAATGAGCCAGAATTGCGATTAAAAATGCGTGTACAGCTTTTTAATACAGCTGGTTTAGAAGAAGCTGGTGTAGACGGTGGTGGTCTGTTTAGAGAATTTTTATCGGAATTGTTAAAAACAAGCTTCGACCCTAACAGAGGCTTTTTCAGGCTCACCAAGGATAATATGCTGTACCCAAATCCTACAGTACAATTATTGGTTGACGATTTCCCGAAGCACTATTATTTTATCGGTAGAATCCTTGGAAAAGCTTTGTACGAGAATTTATTAGTCGAACTTCCGTTCGCAGAATTTTTCCTATCAAAGATCGTTGGTCGTCAATCAGACGTTGATGTACATCATTTAGCTTCCTTAGATCCGATTATGTATAGGAATCTTTTGTACCTAAAGAGTTACAAAGGCGACGTTGCGGATCTTGGCTTGGATTTCACTGTGTTGTCCGACGAGCTCGGTGAAAGGCGAATCGATGAATTGAAACCAGGTGGTGCCAATATCCCTGTTACAAATCACAATCGTATCGAATATATTCACTTGATGGCCGATTACAAGCTGAACAAACAGATTAGAGCACAGTGTTATGCGTTCAAGCAAGGCATAGGTAGTGTGATCCCCCTGGATTGGCTTCAAATGTTTAATAATAAGGAGCTACAAGTATTGATATCGGGTGCACAAATCCCAGTCGACGTGAACGACTTAAAATTGCACACTAACTACACAGGAGGATATGCACCTGATCATCCGACAATCACTGCGTTTTGGAAAGTTGTTAATGAATTTAACGATCAGCAAAAAGGACAGTTACTCAAATTCGTTACGAGCTGCAGTCGACCGCCTTTACTTGGATTTAAGGTACAAAGCGGTTATTTCTTTTTTGATGACTAATCAATAGGTACGTGTGTACGTGTACAAATAGGCGAATATATATATAAGTATATGTTAATTCTTTTCTAGGAACTTGATCCACCTTTTTGCATTCAACATGCCGGCAGTGTTGATCGCTTGCCGACTTCCAGTACCTGTATGAATCTATTAAAGCTACCAGAGTTTCCAGACGAGAAAACTCTACGCGAGAAACTTTTATATGCGATACAAGCTGGTGCAGGTTTCGAATTGAGTTAAGCTCAATTTTTTTCTTCCCTAATTTTAAGCTATTTTTCTTTTAGTTAAATCGGTGATACCTGATTGTATATAAATTGTAAGTGTAATTAACATTAAGCACGTATATCTGAGAACAAACTACGAATGCGAGAGTTGTCATGATTCATTAATGAATAAGCGATTCGACTCGATGTTAATTAAGCGCTTTGAATGTAATGTGTTTATATATTACAGCAAGTAAGGACAAAATACAGATTTCGTTTGAGTCATTCGTCCGTTAGAGGGCAGATTAACTTGAGAAATTTTCGTCGGATCAGGCAATAAATATATAACGTTGTAAGGAGGGGCCAATTAATTAGCGGTAACTATTGTCTATTAAGGAGACAACTATCAATATATAGTGAACGAATATGTATTGTTTTTGTAAAAATATGTTACCTTATCCTACTATGTACCAACTTATGTGCATAAATGTATACATATACATATATAGATAGATTGATATACGTACATATACACACACGACGCATGTATCTTATTTGTTATAACTTTTCTGCCCTTGGCCTATAACTGTAAATTGTGTATATTTTTTGTATTCCATCATAATTACCAACAACTATATATCAACAATATTAAATATACATGAGAGAGTAGAATGTATGTATTTATGAATTCGTTAATTTAGTGTAAATAATAAAAAATTCTGAAGTGTTACGTACATTTATTACAAATACGTAATTTCAACTTTAAGAGCAACGTTTTTACGTTTTAATAAAGGCTGCATACAGTGATAGAATGTCACTTTAAAATGTTAAAGAATTTTAACTCAAATTCGCCCAGACGGAAATGAATTGCGATCAACCGTATTGTATATCAGACACTTTAAATCGTTCACCGAATCATGCTTTCATTTACAGTGTTCGACCTTACATATGTATCTATAAAAATGGTACACGCTTTTAGTGTTAAAGCTTATGTCATTTGTGTAACATGGCGTCGAACGAGAGTTGCAACTTTCAGAAAGTTTTGGAGTTTAAAATTTACAAATGCTCCAGCTTCTCCTCGTCTTATATACCAGAGTAAGCACTCCGTTAATACTCAACCAATTTCCTTTTACGATTTTGTAATTACGAAGTGGAAAACTTTACACGGTTGTTACACGGTTATGATTTCCTAACCTAAAATAACGGTTATGTCGAACGATAAGAACCATTATACGTAGAATTATGGAATGAACAATTGCGTTAATTACGCCGGATTCTTTACCAAGCATTAAATTGACATTTTCTTTTTCTTTCTTAGAAATATCCTTCTGGATAAACCGTCAGATCAGACATCGCGCTGGTCCTCTGATATTGACACTTATCCACAGGTAAACATTGCTCAAAAGTAACACGACATATAATAATAAAAAAAAAAAAAACTGTTACAAAACTTATAGAGGTATTCAAATTGCGAGTCTCTTATTTATCTCTTTTAATTACATTAGGAAAAAATTTAATATTTCATGTTGCTATCAGTTGATATTCCACAACCAATGTGTACAGTAGATTGTATTCAAATTTTTTCAGTTTCTTGTATTAAAATTACGATTTCCTTCGATTGTAAAAACAATTACGTTTGGTAAATATGAAAAAACACATGTATGTAATATAAAAAAATTCAAGATATATGGTGGTTTAGAGCCAGAGAATATGATGGAACTTTTAGAAAAGTAAGTGCGATAAAAAGTGGTAATTACATGTATTTGCATATTGATAATCAACTGTCCTTTTTAGTGGATTAAAAAATGATTCAGTATCGGAAACCTTTGATTTGAAACACATAGTAGGAAATGGAGAGAATTATTTTCCAGTTAAATACATAAAAATTGTTCCGTTGCAATCGTGGGGACCTAGTTTTAATTTCTCTATTTGGCATGTACGGCTAACTGGCACCGATGACTTTAAAGTTGTAAAACCTAGTATTGAATGGTTTAACGCGGTAAATATAGAACAAAATATTTAGCTAAATAATAATGTTTATCACGATAATATGTTTATACTTGAAGTATTATACACATATTATAGATACATATTTTGTGCAAATATATTACAGTACCGTCAAAAAGAAGTAATAAGGCTGTGTATGAAGCACTTTAGAAAACTTGAACATTCTGAAATTGTAGAAACTTTACAAAGAGTTACTGGTGTTCCACTTGAAGATCCTAGATTGACCGGATTGTACGACTTGTTGGTCACAAAGGGTGATCATTTACAAGCCGAATACTTTATAAGTAATGCCGTAATGAGTAAGTATTTTTCTTTTTTACTGTCTGTTTTGTAATATCGTGACATGCAGTCTTAGAAAGTAATATGATTTATAATACAGTGGGTCTTTTAAATGACTATATCAATGCTCAGACTTATAGAGCAGTTTGGACTAAGTTATCGTCCAATGATGGTAAACCAGGAATGAGAGGAGGTCACCAAATGGTACTTGATCCAACAGCAGAACTTCTTTATCTTTTTGGGGGGTGGGATGGCAATCAAGATCTTTCAGATTTGTGGGTGTATAATGTAACTTCTAACAAATGGACCATTATATGTAAAGATACGGAAACTGTGGTAAGTTGACAAAGTAGAATACATATTATAGGACGGAGAATTTAAATTTTAAATTATAGGGCGGTCCAAGCGCGAGATCCTGCCATAAAATGTGTCTTGATCCAGAGCGTAGACAACTGTTTACTCTTGGTAAATACTTGGACGCAGAGTACAGAACGCCGGAAAATTTGAAGAGTGATTTTTTCGTTTATGATATCGAATCGAACAAATGGACACAAATATCAGAAGATACAGGCGCCGTAGGAGGACCTCAACTAATTTTCGATCATCAAATGTCCATGGATGTCGAAAAACGTACAATTTACATATTTGGCGGCCGTGTTCTTGTTTCTCCGACAAAGTAAGTAAAACAATATCTACAGCTATGTCGGTAGCGTTTTAACACGTTTATTTAATTTTCAGTTCTGAAGAACACGGTATAATAACAAGTTCAACGGAACCAGTTTTTTCTGGATTGTATTCTTACCACGTACCAACTGGTACTTGGAATAGACTTGCATGTGACATTGCTAGACCATGCCCCACCAATGCACCGGTTATTCGATCCAGAGCTGGTCATTCTATGTTGTTTCATCCTGTATGTATGCATAATATTGCACAACGTATGCCATGGATGTACTGTAATTTAAAAATTTCTTTTCATCACAGGGATTACGGAAATTATACATTTTCGCTGGTCAGAGAGGTAAAGAAGACCTTAGCGATTTTTTTACGTATGAGGTCGATACAAATCAAATTGAACACATCTTCAACGATTTCGGCGCTAAAGATTCGAATCATGTACCGGCTGCTGGATTCACGCAAAGAGCCACAATCGATCCCGAATTGGGAGAAATATATGTTTTATCGGTTTGTGTCGCATAGTTATTTTTCTTTGTCATATCCGTAACACAAATAATAATCACACTTAACAATAGCGTTTGAATTTTAATTGCTATTTATTGTAGGGCTTAAGTAAAGATAAAGGTAAAAGATTTGATAGTGTTCAAAATTCCTTTTGGGTGTACAGTATTAAGAACAATAAGTGGTCTTGCATTTACCGAAATGACAATGTTGGAGAAAAATATTGGAGCAAAATGCAAGATTACGAACCATGCCCACGTTATGCACATCAACTGGTTTATGATCATGTGAAGAAGGTTTGTTGTATTAATTTACTTACGAAAAATTGTTCTGTCAGCGCAGCACATAATAATGGCGTTGTATAATGTATTATTAGGTTCATTTTTTATTTGGAGGAAACCCCGGGAGATCCTGTCTTCCAAACTTACGTCTCGACGATTTCTGGCAATTAAAATTATGCAGACCGTCTCATGAGCAAATTCTAAAGAGATGCAAACTACTTATTAGAAAGCACAAATTCAAAGAGCTAGCTTTGAACAATAGCGTCGAAGCGCTCGAATATCTGCAGACCAAAGTATCAGAAATTATCGATCATAACGATGTGGAGCAAACGAAAGAGGTAGTAACATCTTTTTAATCAATAACGAATGAACACGTTGCCAATGTTACCTTTTGAAATGCATTTCTTCGTTACAGTTTCAATTGTTAACATCCCTTCTGTTCAGAGAACAAAACTTAAGAGGAGCCAGAAATTCAAATGGTTCAGATGCCGTATTAGGGAATTTAGTTGACATGGATACGTCGTCGTTTTGGTGTTCGACTACGCGTGATATTCATACTTTGAGAACTGAATTATACGATAAACTGACAGAATTTTTCCCCGAATCATCGACACAACCCCGTGCTAATTTGATCGATCTTTTGCCATTGTGATCCAACAGTAATTAAAATCCAACAGAGAATGTTTAAAAATGTAAGACAAAGAGATTCCTTTCATTTTCTTGTAAAGACAGTATGCTATGATATCAAATCAACTGTATCTTTCAAAGAGAAACGTTATTTTTATAGTGCAATTCTTTGTACTGCTTTAAAAGGAGAAGAATTTTCACAAGGCATGTGACCCGCCTTCCTAAAATACATAACAATATGCAACTTGATTTCTTTTACATAAAAATGATAAGTTGGTAAAAAAGAAGAAAAGATACATTAATATATATTTCACCGTGATACATTTAAGCGAGGAGCTATTAAAACCAAGGTTTATCGTTTACATCTTTTTCTTATCGAGTTTTCGTTTGCATTGGAGTATTCTATCTTTTCACCACATTCAGATTTGTTACGTTTATTTATTGCAAGCCTTATTTCATAAAACACAATTAATATCCAAAGTATCGTTACACGTCGTTCAAATCGGTTCTCACTATCCATACGTCGATATGTACTCACGACTTGTTCATAAACAAGTATCATTCTTAAAGCAAATTTACTAAAAAAAAAATGACCATTTAAAAAGTTTTCTGTATCCAATGTGTATATACTGAAGGGATGCTTTACAAACTTACTGATGAAACGAAAACTCGTTAAACGTCATTTAACATTGATGAGAAATTGTAACACAAGTGCGACAAATAAGACGATTCATTAGAAAAATGGATATTCCTCTATTTTTATGGCTTCGCTTTCTTCGCCGTTGAAAATATTTTATACAGTGTTATTTGAGCATTATTTGTAAATCATGCGAGATAGCATTCGAGTTAGCATTACCATTTATATTCGTAATAAAAATTTACTATACATATTTCCGTGATAAATGTTATAAAGGTTAATAAGAGTAACACGTTCGTGAGTCTTAGTCGAATTTTGTGCATATTATTTATGTACATCTGCAATATATTTCATCGTAATGCTATGTTTTTATTGCTCCTGTATATCGCTATTTAAATAATCCGTCATCACGATTTTTTGTTTGTGATAAAATTAGTATAAAAAGCATCACGTTTGTTTGTCACCATCTTGTATATATTCTATGACTATAGGAAGTAATACCTAAAGCTATCATTATTGTTAATCTTTTATATTATAAGCGTTATTCGATGACATGCGCAAAACAAATTTTGTACATAGTGCTGCTTTGTCGATATATTTGTGTAAACAGTTATTTGTAGCATTACATATAAGATACGAGCAGCGAGAATGTGATTATAGCGAACGTTATCAACTATGTGACTAACACACTATACATACAATACGAGAATAATTCACAATAATGAAGCGGTATCTTTGTACATAACTTTATGCGCTAGAGAATGAAACGACTGTACAATTCGGTTGTAGAATAAGAAGTGGGCGAATCGTTACTAAGAATAAGTTTCAATAACGAAACGAGGGAAAAGTTTTCTTTTTTTTTTTTTTTTTTTAAATATTTTTCAACGTTACGATTTTTTCTCTACCATTTTCAACGAGAAACGGGACAAGATAACTTTTGGTTAGAGCGTGACGTATAGTATGCGTGTGTAGCAAAAGTATATATCTTCGACAGTTATCGTTGATCGACATCTATTTTATACACGAAGGACAGAGAGTTACGATTCGACGGTACGTTGGGCGTGTAAACACGTTCAATGAGAAAACGTTACTTCCAAAATATTATACATATATATATATATATATCAAGATAGTAAAATATCAGACTTATCTCAGGATTTTATCCCATCATTTTATTGTGAAATTCGACAAGAACGTCGAATAGAATTCTAAAGACGTGATATTCGAAGTTCTAGTCAGCTAATGTACGATTACGGGAAAGCGTTGAAAGAAAAATATGTTATCATTGGACATTTGCCAGCAGAAACGATAAAAGTATAATAATAATAATAATTTATAATAATTAAGTACTATACACGGTATTGTCATATTTTATCCTGTTTGTACGTATATGTCTATTCGTTTCTACCGAAGATTCCATTGAAAAACACGTATCTCAGATTCTTGGAGGATCAGATTGTGCCAGCATGCGATATAAATGAAAATTAGTAAAAAACCGTAATGATCATTCAAATGTTTTTTTCCTTTTCTTTTTACTAACTATTTTTATTCAACTCAATTGAAATCTATAGCAAGCGTATCCAACCCGCGATCCTTAAATCCTATATATTGTAATCAAAATTGTAATAATTAAATAAGAATTTTATTACTTGAATAATTTTAACCACGAATGTTCGTGATGTCCCTTTTGGGGAGTACTTATATTGCGAACAGATCTTTTTCCCATAAATAATTTAATATCCTCATAAATAATGTAGGTTAGATTGAACTGATAAGAAAATAAACTTTCTGCGGCCCTCAACAAACGTTTGCTGGCCAATGAGGCCGAAAAGATCTAAAAGGTTGGACACCCATGATCTATAGTAAGTGCATGCGCACAGTTTGATCGTCGAAAATTTCCGGTAAGCACAGCCTGTTCAAGCGCGTGTTTCATCTTCGTTTGTCATCTTCGACCATCTGTTCTCTTTCCCTTTCTAAATACAATCGTCTAATTGCCAACTGACTACGTGCATTTATTTGAAATAACGTTGCCGTTTGTTACATAGTGCTATAATAATTGTAAGATAAAAAAAAAACGAACTCGTGTCACATACATGTACATACGAAATAAAGAAGATCTTTTTGCAAGAATTGCTTTAGTAATTCGAATTATACCATACACGAGAGAAATTTAGAATCTGCGATGAATAACTTCCGGCAAGTTGAAAAAAACAAGTGGCGACGTTCAACGTCGATTTTCAACTGTGCAGTTGCGGCAAACAGCAATTCAGCGCGTGCGAGTGAAAAAGGAGGAAGTCTATTAGAAAAAGATAAAGGGAAAACAGTGTAAAAAATGCCGGACGAGGAGGAGGTGACATACGAAATAGTTACACCACCGAACGACAATTATTATCGCCGGAATATCGAGCACTTCTCGAAAAATGCAAACAAACTTCGAAAGGTACATCAGTTTAGGTTTATCTATTCTTTTCTTTCACTCTGAATTTCTGAAATCGAGAACGAAGTGAAAAGTTGACAATCCTTCGGAAGATCAACGACGAGATCGAAGATGTGCGAGATGTATTGGAACTGGCGGTAACGAAGTCGAAGATTGACCGTGAGAGGAGAGAAAGCAGTTGTCAAATTATCAACGAGTGTCAACTGGAACAACCTCAAAGTTTCTACTTCACGAAGATGAAAGAGTTCGCGGATAAACTGCCCGCGTACACTCTGTTGCCTGTACGTGATACATTGAAACGCATTGTAGCGTAAGATATAATAAACGTAACGTATATTCTGTTTAATCTGTCTAGGAACAGGAAGAGACTATACGAAATTTAGTTTCGTTCAGTTTACGGCACAAGTACGAGAAAATCTTCGAGGATCAAATGCTAGAAACGAAGACACGTTATTACGAAGCGATGCACGATCTGGCCGTGAAGAGAGTGATAACGATCGAGTGCCAGGACGTGTGTAACGTGGGCCTAGAACGTGTCTTTTCGTACAAGCTCGCTGGACGGACCGAGTTTTATCCAAAATATTTGAAAAATCGATGCGCAATTAGAAGGAAGTACTATTTATCTCACAGGCTGATGAGAAACATAGTCGCGAAAGCTTGTTTCCTTATGCCAGATTGGATCTGTAATTTCCGACGCTATAGATTAGGATTTGATTATCTCGACTTCAACAGGTGCAATATATATATTCACTTACATTATTTGAATATTATAATCTCGGTTCTCGCCATTTCATACGCCTTAACGTATATTGGATAAAACGAATGGGAACTTTTATTTGTATATTTTACGAACGTCTAAAAATATGTCGCTTTAATTTAACAATTAGATTTAGCAATATAGCTTCAACTTAACAATAATAATATAAAATATTTTGTAAATTTTTAACAAAAATTAATTTGGTAAATTGGTCATTCTGACCACGTTAATTGTTAATAGTCTTTCGTAATAAACGATCGTAGGTTTCTGGATTTAGTGGAAAACGATGTGAAAAAAGGTGCGTTGATCGTCAGCAGTGCTTATTACAGCGACATTGTGCGATTAGTTTCTCAACCGTACTATCTTCACGATGTCCGTCCACCCTCATTGCCAGACTTTCTCAACTGCGCCAACAGTTTGCTGGCCTTTCAAGTGGTGACGCGAATCATGAACACCATTGAACATTTGCTGCAAATTTTGAAAGATGAACGAACCGTGCCTTTGTTCAAGGTATGACAATTTGTTCGAGTGCTAAATTAACTGTCGTTGCTAAATTTCAAAATCATTGAAATAATCGTCGACTAGACGGAAGAAACGTTCGATGATGTTTCTGTCTGTACAGTTGCAGTTGAAATGCGAGAACAACGAGCTGTTTCTCAGTCCAACGATGGACGAGATTTGCCAGGCGTTTCACGGCATAGTTGAACAAATTAGCCACGTCGGCCAACAATTACCGCCACTTGACTCTTGGGTCGGCGTGAAGATTCAACAAGAGTACATTAAAGTTGCGTTGTCGGAATTATACCTGGAAGAAACGCATCGACGTATGGCGGAAACGTTGCGACGTACTTTTCAACCGTTCAACAGTTACGTGGAGGGACTGTACAGCAAGTTCAAAGTTGTTTTCAATCCAGAAACACGCAGAAATATCGTTGATTACGTCAGTACAGGGCACACGTTTCAAGAATATGTGTCCAAAGTCGAGGACCTTAACCAATTCATTCGAGAAATAAATGGCATGGTAATCACACCCCAGGGCATTTACTTATTCTAAAATGTGGGTGTCCAACCTTTTAGATTTTTTGAGCTTCATTAACCTAACAAGAATTTATTGAAAACCGCATGTAGTTTACACTTTTTTTTTTTTATCAGTTCAATCTATATTATTTGTGTGGATATCAAAACATTTATGGTGAACATAATTATGGAACATAACAACATATATGGTGAACAACATTTATCAGTTCAACCTATATTATTTGTGAGGATATTAAAACAACATTTATATTGAAACGATACATTGATTAGAAAAGTATATTTATATTAGTTACAAAAATGTGAAAATTTTCAGTAAGAATATCGAGCTTGTTTTTTTAGATACCAGTTCAATTAATATCTGGTTTGATACAGGTAATGGCATTTTCAAAATGTTCGTCTACAATTTTCTTATTTTATTTCCTCTGTGCTTCATGTGGGAAGAAAATCTGTTCGCAAATATAAGTACTTCCCAAAAGGGACGTCACGAACATCCGTGGCTAAAATTATTCAAATAATAAAATCCTTATCCAATTGTTCCAATTTGAGTTATACAGCGCGGATCGCTAGTTGAACAAAACTGTTCTAAAAAAAAAAGAGTTTATAAAACTGTAGTTTTCTTTTAGCCGAATCACGAATATTTCTCGATCGGGGTAATTCATCAAGCGGCGGCAAAGGCAGGTCTCCTCTATTACACGGAAGAAGTGCGCAGGCTGATCATCGAGGAGTTGGTGAAAAGCCATCAAACGTACAATCTTGAAATCTGTAACACGTTCGAGACGATAAGGGAACGTGCTTCAAACATTCCCAGTACCACTAAAGAATTACTCGAATTAGGTAAATTTTCTAAATAAAGAATTTAATGAATTTCGCGGCGAAGGGGAGAGAAGGCTAAACAGGCGAAGTAATTTCGTTTCAGGCGAGTACATGTTGTACGCTGCGTCGACGTTGATGAGGTCGCAAGAGGAAAAGATTACCTCCTCCTTGCGCATGATGGCGTTGCTAATCGGGATGACGACATTAACCAAAGATCACATCGAGTTGAATAACGCGACCATTCATTGGTTGACGCGGATAAGACCGATATTCAAGCACAGCAGCGCCATCTACGAGCAAATTAAATTTGAACTGGAGGAGAAACTTCAGCAAAAAATCGAAAATCTAAACGCCGACGTAGAGATCATGTTTCCCAGGTAAATCGTTATAAGAGAATTAATACAATATTCACACATGTACCCATATATTACAAATATATATTATATATATATTAGAATTATTTATATTTATTAAATAATATTATTAAATAATATTAAATATATATTTATTTACATATATATTATATATATATTTATAAATATTTATATTTATTTCATCATTTATAAATATATATATATATAAATATATAAATATTATAATTAATATATAATTAATAAATATATATAATATATTATATATATTATACATATATAAATGTTTATAATATTTTTATATATGTATAAAATATTTCGATATTGCATTATCATTTTAGATTAAAAATTATGAACGATATGGATGACGCGAACCGCATAAGGGAGTACATAGAATACATGCGAAAGTTCGCGCGCGATTTGGATCGTACGGATGAGAGAGTGAAGTGCATCAACGACGAGGAGAAACTTTTTAAGTACCCTCCGTCGGTATATCCACGGATCAACGAACTGAAGGAAAACATAATGCCGTATTACGAATTGATTTATCGTGGTTACCAGTGGCAAAGACATCGAGATGTCTGGTTGGATGGCCCGTTCGAGTACCTGGACTCCAATAGTATTGACAACACGACGAGCGATTACTTCACGAATTTGAACAAAATCAGCAAGCAATACCGAACGAGAATAAAGTTGGAAATTGCAATGAATTATCCGCACAGGTAATGGGCAGAATATCAAATACGCAACAACATCTTTGAAAATTTTGAGGGATCGAGCAGTTTTCATTAGTTTTGTAGGGTCACTAGACGATCCGGACCCTTTTCAACAGCCAGCACCTTTGAAGCTTTGCCATCAGCTTATCGAGAACATCAAGTGGTTTAAGGTGACTTTGATGAAAGCGAGAAACAGCC